TATTTTATTGAAGATTTTTACATCCATGTTCATCATGGATATTGGCCTGTAGTTTTCTTTCTTAGTTGTGTCTCTGCTGGATTTTGGTATCAGGATGATGTTGATCTCCTAGAAAGAGTTAGGGAGGATTCCCTCTTTTTGTATTCTTTGGAATAGTTTCAAAGAATATGTATGTCTGGTAGAATCCAGCTGTGAACCTGTCTCGACCTGGACTTCTTTTGGTTGGTAGGCTATTAATTGCTGCCTCGACTTCAGACCTTACTACTGGTCTATTCAGGGTTTGAACTTCTTCTTGGCTTAGTCTTGGGAGTGTGCAAGTGTCCAAGAATTTATCCATTTCTTCCAGATTTACTGGTTTAGTTGTTTGTAGTAATCTCTGATGGTAGTTTGTATTTCCAAGGAAGTGGTGGTGATCTGCCCTTTATTGTTTTTTATTGCATCTATTTGATTCTTCTCTCTTTTCTTTTTTATTAGTCTAGCTAGCAGTCTATTTTGTTGATCTTTTCAAAGAAACAGCTGTTGGATTTATTGATTTTTGAAGGGTTTTTTTTGTCTCTGTCTCCTTCATTTCTGCTCTGATCTTTGTTGTTTCTTGTCTTCTGCTTGCTTTTGAGTTTTTTTATCTTGCTCTTCTCGCTCTTTCAATTTTGATGACAGGTTGTTGATTTTAGATCTTTCCTTGTTTCTCATGTGGGCATTTATTGCTATAAATTTCCGTCTAGACACTGCTTTAAATGTGTCCCATAGGATCTGGTACATTGTGTCTTCATTCTTGTTGGTTTCAAAGAACATTTTTATTTCTGCCTTCATTTCATTATTTATTCATCCAGGAGCAAGTCGTTTAGTTTCCATGTGATTGTGCAGTTTTGAGTGCTTTTCTTAATCCTGAGTTCTAATTTGATGGCGCTGTGGTCTGAGAGACTGTTATGATTTCCACTCTTTTGCATTTGCTGAGGAGTGATTTACTTCCAATTATGTGGTCAATTTTGGAGTAAGTGCAATGTGGTGCTGAGAAGAATGTGTATTCTGCAGATTTGGGGTGAAGTGTCCTGTAAATGTCTGTTAGGTCCGCTTGGTCCAAATATGCATTCAAGTCATGGATATCCTTGTTGACTTTCTGTCTCGTTGATCTGTCCAATATTGTCAGTGGAGTGTTAAAGTCTCCCACCGTTATTGTGCGTGAGTCTAAGTCTCTTTGTAGGTCTTTAAGAACTTGCTTTAGGTATCTGGGTGCTCCTGCATTGGGTGTGAATATATGTAGGATAGTTAGCTCTTCTTGTTGCATTGATCCATTTACTGTATGTAGTGCCCTTCTTTGTCTCTTTTTATCTTTGTTAGTTTAAAGTCCATTTTATCCGAGACTAGCATTGCTACCCCTGCATTTCTTTTGCTCTCCATTTGCTTGGTAAATCTTCTTCCATCCCTTTATTTTGAGTCTATGTGAGTCTTTGCATGTGAGATGGGTCTCCTGAATAGAGTACAGCGATGGGTCTTGTACATCACTCTTAGAAATTGTCTGAGAAGTTACTTGATTATTTAGAAAAATTTAGACATATTAAGAAAAGCGAAAAGTATAGAATCAAGTTATACTGGAGGAAAATATTGTTTTTTTTAGACCTTTCAGATAAAACATTTCAGCTTCAGACCACAAATTAGAACTAGAGGGGAAAATTACAGGAGGAGGAGCTGATGTTGAAACACATATACAAACACACAAGATTTAATAGCTTTTACCTTGGAACTCTTGCCGTGCGACAGCATCACAAAAATCACTGACCTATAAAAGGCAGCTAGATCCAAATTATTTTTGGTAAAATTGGGACCTGTCAATAGGCAATTCAGTAAAGACTGTGGACAAATATTTTGGCTAAAGTGGTCTTTATGGCAGTTTGATTTTTAAAAATCTTTTTTATCCTTCTATTTTTGTTTTAAATGAGTGTTTATTGTCTACATTTTTTTAAATGAGTGTTTATTTTCTACAGAACTGGCTGAACTATATAAGAAGAACAAAATCTCCAAATAACCTTGAATTGGTGGTACGATAAAGAGTGAGTTTTATCGCAATACCAGGAGTTTAATAGCAGTAGATTCAAAGCAGGCAGGAAAAAAAATAAAGAAAGAAAGAGTTTTAGAAGACTGTTTAACTCTATAGTTGTAGGTAAACCATTTGAGCTCTGAAGTTTTCTTGCTGTAATTTGTCCATCAGTTCAAAATGTGTAAAGAAATGGGCCATAATCGGTAATTAGCTGCAGTCTCAGACAACCTGGCTTGCTTTTGAACTTTCTCGTGTTTTTAAACATGTAAGCAAGGGTGCATAAAGATAACTGACAAACACATGCAAATGAACAAGTTCTCAAAGTGGGTAAAAGTCCAGCAACCATTCCCTTATCCAACAGGGTATGCCAATCAAATACAAACACAGTGGCTTATTCAGAGGAAAAGCCCAAATGGAGGGGAAGAAGTTCCTAGTTGTACAAACTGGAGCAACTTACCCCGTCCTGCAGTCCACTGACTCCCCGTCCTGCAGTCCACTGACTCCCCATCCTGCAGTCCACTGACTCCCCGTCCTGCAGTCCACTGACTCCCCATCCTGCAGTCCACTGACTCCCCGTCCTGCAGTCCACTGACTCCCCATCCTGCAGTCCACTGACTCCCCGTCCAGCAGTCCACTGACTCCCCGTCCTGCAGTCCACTGACTCCCTGAGACACTGCTTCTCCTTGCACCAGTGAAGCATTGTAGGCAGCTGATGCCTCAAAGGGGAGAGAAGGGAGGATCCCCAAGACAAAAGTGTTCTCAACAGTTGCTGGGATATCCCTGGAATCCTAGCCACAGTATCAGCTAACCACCAGCAGGTGACACTCATGAGTGGTTGTTGCTCTGCCTGGTAGTGTAACTCTGCCAGGTAGTAGCCCTGCTGTGCTGCTACAGACAATTGCTCCATCCATTGGAAACCAGGCAGGATAGACCACCTGAGGCACACAGCCCCATGTTGGGCTCCATAGTTTTAACCAAACCCAGGTTCAGCTGCTCGCCACTCAAAAGACAAACATGAGAGACAAGAGTTGGTGAAAGGAAAAACAGATTTTTTAAGAGAGCCAGCAAACCAGGAAGATGTGAGACTAACGTCCTAAAGTACCATCTCAAGTCAGTACAAAGTTTAGGCTCTTTTTATGTTAAGGGCAAAGGGAAAGAAGAGAGGGTGCAATAAAGAGATGACTGATTACCACAATCTGAGTGCCAGCAAGGGTGTGAGAAGCTTAGAACTTTTTTGTCTTTGGTCAGGTCACCATGTTTTTATAAATTTTTCACAAAACATAGTTGTTAACATAGGTTGTTGATTTTTATCCCAGAGTTAGCTTTTTATAACTACAGGAATGTTATTTTTATATATTATCTTAGTACTCCAAAATTACCTTAGCCTACATATAAAATGGGTTAAAGGCCCCTTATACAAAAATAGTTATATGAATTCTTTTGCTATTTCACTATTACGTGATCTCCGGCCTTACTCTTATAAGAACCCTTCTGATCACATTGGCCTCACCCAGATAATTCAGGATAATCTCCTCATCTCGAGATTTTTTTCACTCAATCACATGTGCAAAGTGCCTTTTGCCATGTAAGGTGACATTCACAGTTTCCAGGCCTCAGGACATAGATACTTTTGGGAGACATTATCATGCCTATTGCATCATTCTTCCCAGTGTCGTATGATTGCAGAGAAATTTAGTGAAACAGCTGCTTCCTGTTCAGAGGCCAAGGTAAAGTGTGTCCCTCTGAACACATACATGGATGTCACGATAGTCCCCAGTGACAGGATTCAACTTCAGCTCCACATTCCCTCAACATAACACTGGTGGCTAAATCTCCCAGGTTTGTGGTCCTCCGTGATGTCCATACCCATCAGAAGTGCACTTATTTCTTTACCATCTTTCTTTACCCTGACACAAAGGTATTTGCAATGCTCGGGCTGCAGGGGTCTGCTGAGTGAGGGGTGCTAGAGTTCATATTTCGGGTCACAGGGGTTCTGCCTACTTCCATTCATAAAATACCACAAAGAAATATGGTTTGGTACAAAAGTTAAGAACAAGCAACAGAGGTACACTTTCCAATTTAGAGGATAAACTCTATGCATTCTGTGCTACCTCCCTGGAACACAGCACATCTATTTGACTTTTTTTTTTTTTTTTGAGATAAATAAATGACTTAATCTTTCTCTTCAAGAACATAGCATCTAAAGTAGAAATAGAGTTTTTTCTGAATGTTAACCATGCATGAAAAGACATGATCAAAGCTTAGTGAGCTAACATTTTAGAGTGTTTTAAAGAACAAGTTGAAGACTGATCACCCAAGAGCATGGGCGTAAGGACACAACACAGGGTCACAAAAGGGCTAAGGTTGTTCAGGAGATTGAAATAAGTCCAATGATGAGAAAAAACAGGTCATGGGGGCAAGGGAGTGATGGGAGATGAAAAGGGATGCCCATCAAGGACCAGATTCTGTCTTCCTTGAGGCTTTCTTTGGAATAGTTCATAGATCACATTTCTGCACACTGGAAAAATCATGCCATCTCTTTAATATCTCAAAATTATTCCAAGGAACTTATTCCTTGCTCAAACTTGACAAAAGTCTGTGAACTGAGTGGCCTCTCTGTCCCTGAGCTCCACACCAAGGCCTCTGCTTGTGGCTCAGGCCTCAGGCATCTCTGATGAGCCAACTCAAAGAAGCTCTTGGCTAAAAAAGTCTCCCAGGTTTGTGGTCCTACCTAACGTCCATCCCCACCAGAGGTGCACTTATTTCTTTACCATTTTTCCTTACCCTTAAACAAAGGTATTTGCAATGCTCAGGCTCCCACGGTTTTTACTTTTCTCACTTAAATTAAAACGCAGTAATAAATTCCCACTATATGTCTCCTCTGACTCTCTCAGATAATAATCTTTTTTTAAAAAAGGACTGACTGTTGTAAGCATTAGAAATGGCAGCACACTTTTATTTTAAGCAGCTGTACAGTTCTCCCAATAAGATGTCCTTGGAGAAGATGAAAGAGCTTCATCTGGAGGAAAATTATCTACACCCAGAAACTAAAGAAGTGAATGGAATCCTCATGACCAAAATGATTAGTGATAATTGGGACAAAATCTGGAATTTCCAAGCAAAACCTGATGATCTCCTCATTGCAACCTATGCAAAGGCAGGTGGGTATGAGAAAACGGCAGGAAAGCCAGATTTAGACAGAGCACTGACCCCTGGAGTGGGTCTCCCACTTTAAAAATGCAGGTTTTCACCAGTGCTGGTCCTGGAAAAAAATGGAAACCAGACTTGCTTATGATCTTTAATCCCCTATGACCCAAGATCTTCCTCTTATTTGGTCCCTGTAAAAGAAATAGCCAGAATCCCAAGTCACCAAAGGACTGAAGGAATTATGAAGCGCACAGAAGTTCTTACAGTAAACTTGCCAACCAGCCAGTCCTTGCTCCCATCTGCTAAGCCCTCCTGGAATTAACCACAGTTCTTGCCCCTAAGAGGCTCCTCCGAGTGGAGGAGACAGATGGGGAACTGAATGCTTTCACCCCACTATAAAAGTACTGATAGAGGTGGGCCAAAGCCTATGTGAGTAGCATGGGGAGGATGTGAGAAACGGAAAGTGGCATTTACCAGACTCTTATGAAAGGAAGCGAAGTTTGTGGAAAAAGCAAGAGTCAGAAATAGCAAAGAGTGTTCTAGGCTTGTGCAGGGTGGAGGAATAGGGAACATCACCACCAGCAAGACTGTGATGATGACTAATAATCCCCATGTTATCTGAATATGTAATTTCAGATAGTGTGACCAAGTAAAGTAAAGAACATTAATCAGTTTGGGAAAGTCTCTCAGTGGCCACTTGACTCAATAGGAAGAATACTAGATACCCATAACCAGAAAGATTTCAGGAAAGGGCCCCTTCACCACATTCTTGGAAATGTGTGTCTTTCCTGTCTTTGGCTCCAAATTCCCCTCCTTAGCCTCACTCCCTTCTTACTAACTCAGCATTGGCTGGCCAGGGCTTTCTTAATAAACTTAGGTAGGGGCTTGCTATTAGTAGGTATTAGTTTCTCTAGAATCTCCTTTCTGTTTGACTTGCATTGGACACCTCCTCTTGCCCAGATGTGAAAGTAAACCTGTATTACCTCAGGGCAGAAATTTTGTGTCAGCTTACATGGGAAATTATGCAGCTGACCCCAAGGCCCTCCATCTCCAGGCCTCAGTGCTTCCCCAGTCTTACTTCCCCATCTCTCCCAGCACCTCTCAACTTCCTGGGAGCCCTCCTTCCTTCCCCGTGTGGAATATGCATGCCTTTATCTTTGCTCCTGAGGCTCCCTGCCTAGGATGCCATGCCTCCTTAGTGAAATCGACATTTTATTCCCACTTCAGCCCTTCATTTCGGAGCTACCATCCCCCTCCTTCACTGAGCTCTACTGATGCCTTCCGCAGTGAGTCCACTCTCTTCTGAACTCCTAGAGCACTTTACATACCTTTACAGCCCTTCATGGAAGTTTCTCTTTCAGTTGTCTGCATATGTCTCATGTTTCAGTGAGTGTCAGGTTTGGCTGCAAGCCACAGAGACATCAAAAGTAGTAAGAACAAAATGGATACTTAGTGGACAATTAGCTCTCTCTGCTGCAGTCCACCTTTTTGCCTACACACATGTCCATTCACAGTCCTATTCTGGTATCAGTTAAAATTCTATTTGACTACAAGTGTTAGAAAACCCAAAATAACACAAAAGGAAAAGCAGTTAGGAGGCTGGTATCCTGGGGCTGAAATAGTGGCTGCCTTGGTCATCAGCCACCCTGGTTCTTGCTTTCTGCTCCACCATCCTCAGGTCTGGCTTGTGATTTTATGGTCCAGTATGACTGCTGGGCCTCCAACCACCACAGGCACATTCCAAATACTATCAAAGAGATAGGAAGGAAGGAATAAGGTTATGTTCTTTCTTTCATGACAGGTACCAGAATTTACTGTCATGGCCACATTTATCTGCAAGAAATAGTAGAAAATATAACCTTTGAGCCAAATAGCTATACCCCAAGCTAAAAATTTAGAATCTACTAATTTGAAAAGAGAAGGGACGAATGCATAATATCTATGGCAAGAAGCAGTCACTGTCACATCTTATTTCCCTCCAAAATATTGTAAGATTGTAAGCTTGTTAGAGCAGATACAATGGCTAATTCATCTTTATATCTCCCTACTTTTATTTGCTTCAATATTCATCCATGCAGCTACATTCATTAGGCACAAAGCCCTATGGTATGTACTAGGAACAAAGGGGAAAAAAAGAATGAGTCCCTACCTCCAAAGAGTGCTTAGTGTGGCAAGGAAGCCAATATGTGAGTATACCGTGATAATCGATGAGTGCAGATGGGGGCTGGTGCTCAGAGGAGAGGCCACACCCACTCTAGATAGCATGCAGAAGCCCAGGTCACCTTGGGGGTCATGCAGAAGACAGGGCAGGTGAGCTGATCCTGCTCAACACTCAGCAATTGGGAGATTAACTAAATACACGAGTAAACATGAAAATGGAATTAAATTGTACTACAGGTGGGTGAAGATGAGAATAACTAATCCTTCTAGGCACAACCTGGACACAGGAGATTGTGGACATGATCCAAAATGATGGGGATGTGCAGAAGTGCCAGAGGGCCAACACCTTTGATCGCCATCCTTTCATTGAGTGGACACTGCCCTCACCTCTCAACTCAGGTAAGTTTGCCCGAGTGAGGCCTGCGGGATTGAAACCACTATACTGGGTCAGTTTTCACCTGAGAGGAAAATCATTTCTGCAGTTAGCCCTTTAGAAACTATGTCCATAAGGAACTGGGAAGGAGTCTGAAGGAGGTTCAGGTCAAAACACCTGGGGAGAAAAGTACTGCCATAAATTATTACACTTTACACCAAATATACTAAGAAATACAAGACATAGACTGCACCCTTGAGTATTTTGTAATCATGTTGGGAATAAAGAACATGTTTTTATAAAGCCAATAGTAATAAACAGTAGTTTTCACAGTAGGAGACAAGCCTTTGGTGAGAAGGCATTGAGGTTAAAATCACACAGTCCAGTTTCAAATGCTGATGTGGATTTTTTATCTGGGTACCCTGAGCAAGTCATTAAGCATCACAAAGCCTAACTTTTCTTCATTTGTAAAATAATAATACCTAATATTTATTGAAACCCTATTGTTGATTGGGCCAATTACTTCAGCAACATTTATTGAAAAATATTTTTAAATCTTTCCTCCCATTGAATTTTCTTGAAACTTTTGCCAAAATTAATTAACTGTTTATATGTGCGTATATTTCTGGATTTTCTGTTCTACTTCTGTCATTGATGTATCAATCTTTATGCCAATATTACACAGTCTTATAATAGTTCCTATAGTTTGGAATTAAGTAGAAATAAGTCCTCCCAATTTCTCTCTCTCTCTCTCATTTTTTCTTTTTTTTGCTTTAGCTATTCTAGGATCTTTGCATTTTCATATAAGCACTGTAATCAAGTTGTCAGTTCCTACCAAAACGAGCAAACAAAGAAACAAAATTCTCCTCATATTTTCGTTGGGATTGCATTAAATCTAGTCTGCAATTACTTTGAACATTTTAAATTTTACTCAGTAATGATTTACAGCTTTCATTATGTCTGTCACACCTTTAGTCAGATTTAATCATAAGTATTGTTTTATTTTGTTAAAATATTTATTTTGATATTGCTGTATTTTAATGTTTATTTATATGTTGCAGATATGTATTGATTTTTTCTTTGCCCTTGTATCTTGCAACTTGGCGTATTAGTTCTAGGTTTTTTGTACTTTTCTTTTGGATATTGGATTTTCTACACAGACAATCGTGTCTTCCTTGAAGGAAGACAATTTTACTTCTGCTTTCTAGGCTTGATTTCTATTATTTCTTTTTCTTGCCTTATTTCACTATCATCTGGAGCCTCCAGTGTAGTATTGAATAGAAATAATAAAACCAAACATTCTTGCCTTGTCCCTGATCTTAGTGGAAAAACATTCATTCTCTCACCGTTAAGCATAATGCTAAATGCAGATTTTTTTTAGATGGCATTTATCGGACTAAGAAGTTCATTTTTTATTCCTTGTTTTCTCAGAGTTTTAATAATAAACCGCTGTTAGATTTAGTCGAATGTTTTTTGACTTGGGAATTCAATTCATTTATTTTAATTCATTCTTTGTTTAGGGCTATCAATTTTTATCTCATCATCATGTTAAATGTATTTGTTTTTAATATGTACTGTTTTCGTTACATTTAATTTCACTATAGTTTTCAAATTTTTGAAACTTTATGCCAGAAATGCTTAGTAGAAGTTTTTAATTTCCAGATGAAAGTGCTTCCTTGATTTTTGCCTTTGTGTTAAATGTCAACACTATAAAATCTACTGATGTTTTATTTGTGCCTTAATAGATCATTATTTTGTGAATTTTCTGTTTGCCTGAGAAGAAAACATATTCTCTATTACCCAAGTTATCTAATATATTATGTTGTTTAAATACTTTGTATCTTCTCTTTTTTGCAGTTGACTTATTTTGCACTGAAAGTTAAAACATCCTATGATTAATGTGTTCTGTTTGCATCTACTGTGGTTTCCATTTTACATAAGTGGTTACTGGATTATGTGGTACACAGATATCCATGATTACTATATTTTATTAATATAATGGAATCTTTCACATTATAAAGTTTCTTCTTTGTGTCATACATATTTGGGGTTGAATACTAATTTATCTTAGAGCATCACAATCCTTGCTTTCTTTTTTAATTTTTAACATTTATGAGTTCATGGTAAGTGTATATATTTATGGGGCACATGAGATGTCTTAATACAGGCATACAATGCATAATCACCACATCATGGAGAATGGGGTATCCATCCCCTCAGGCATTTATCCTTTGTGTTAATAAACAATCCAGCTATACTCTTTTAGTTATTTTTAAATTTACAATTAAATTATCATTGACTATAGTTACTCTGTGGTGCTAACAAATTGTAGGTCTTACTAATTCTTTCTAACTAATTTTTGTACCCATTAACCATCCCCACATCCCCCCCACACACCCACACTACCATTCCCAGCCTCTGGTAAGCATCCTTGTATTCTCTAACTCCATGAGTTCAATTGTTTTCATTTTTAGATTCCACGAATAAGCAAGAACATGCAATGTTTGTCTTTTTGTGCCTGGCTTATTTTGCTTAACATAATGATCTCCAGTTCCATCCATGTTGTTGCAAATGACAGGATCTTACTTTTTTATGCTATCTTACTCAACTTTAAGACAGCAGATTCCCTTCTAGCGAAAGTGTGTCTTTCCATTCGTCTGTTGACAGACACTTAGGTTGCTTCTAAATCTTGGCTATTGTGAACAGTGCTACAACAAACATGAGATTGCAAATATCTCTTTGATATACTGATATCCTTTCTTTTGGGTACATAACCAGCAATTGGATTGATGGATCCTATGGCAGCTCTATATTTAGCTTTTTGAGGAATCTCCAAAATGTTCTTTACAGTGGTTGTACTAATTTACACTGCAAACAACAATGTACAAAGATTCCCTTTTCTCTGCATCCTCACCAGCATTGGTCATTGCCTGTCTTTTAGATATAAGCCATTTTTACTAGGATGAGATGATATCTCATTATAGTTTTGATTTGCATTTCTCTGATGATCAGTGATGTTCCACATCTTTTCATATGCCTGTTTGCCATTTGTATGTCTTCTTTTCAGAAATGTCTATTGAAATCCTTTTACCCATTTTTTATTGGATTATTGGACTTTTTCCCACACAGTTGTTTAAGCTCTTTATATGTTCCGGTTATTAATCCCTTGTCAACTGGGTAGCTTGCAAAGACTTTCTCTATTCTGTGAATTGTCTCTTCAGTTTGTTGATTGTATCCTTTGTCATGCAGGAGCTTTTTAACTTGATGTGATCCCATTCATCCATTTCTGCTTTTGTTGCCTGTGCTTGTGGGGTATTACTCAAGATATTTTTGCCCAGACAAATGTCCTGGAGATTGTCCTAATGCTTTCTTGTAATAGTTTCATAGTTGAGGTCTTATTTTTAAGTTTTTAATTCATTCTGATTTGATTTTTATGGTGAGAGACAGAGGTCTAGTTTCATTTTTCTGCCAACTGATATTCAGTTTTCTCAAGCACCGTTTTTTGAAGAGACTGTCTTTTCCCCAGTGTATGTTCTTGGCACCTTTGTCAAAAATGGTTCACTATAAGTGTGTAGATTTGTTTCTGGGTTCTCTATACCATTCCATTGATCTATATGTCTGTTTTTATGCCAGTATCATGGTGCTTTGGTTATTGTAGCTGTGTAGCATAATTTGAAGTCAGGTAATGTGATTCCTCCAGTTTTGGTCATTTTGATTAGGATAACCTTGTCTATTCTGGGTCTTTTGTGGTTCCATGTACATTTTAGGATTGTTTATTCTATTTCTATGAAAAAAGGTCATCAGTATTTTGTTAGAGATTACATTGAATATACAGATTGCTTTGGGTAGTATGATCATTTTAACAATATTGATTCTTCCAATCCATGGACATGGACTATCTTTCCATTTTTTTTTTTTCTTTTTGGTGTCTTCTTCCATTTCTTTCACCAGTGTTTTATAGTTTTGATTATAAAGATCTTTCAGTTCTTTGATAATTCCTGAGTATTCAATTTTATTTGTAGTTATTCTAATCAGGAGTACTTTTATATTTTCTTTTTCAGATCATCCACTGTTGTCATATATAAATGCTACTTATTTCTGTATGGTTGGTTTTGTATCCTGCTGTGTTTCCAATTTTTTTTATCAGCTCTGACAGTTTTTCTGTGGAGTCTTGAGGTTTTTCCAAATATAAGATTATATCATCTGAAAACAAGGATAAGTGAATGTCTTCCTTTCCAATTTGGTTGCCCTTTATTTCCTTCTCTTTTCTGATTGCTTTAGCTAAGATTTCCAGTACTGTATTGAATAACTGTGGTGACAGTAGGCATCCTTGTCATGTTCCAAATTTTAGAGCAAAGGCTTTCAGTGTTTCCCCACTCAGTATGATACTAGCTGTGGGTCTGTCATATATGCCTTTCATTATGTTGAGGTATGTTTCTCCTATACCTATTTAGGGTTTTTAGTATGAGTTCCCACATGCTCCAGAGGTGCCATCTGGTTAAAAACCTTAGAAATCTGCCTGATATTCTATTGTGCTGTGCCTAAGCTGGCAGAAAAACCACAAGATGTAGTCCTTCCCTCTCTTCCTTCCCCTTTCCAAAGGCAGAAGAGCCTCATCCCATGGCCACTGCCACCACAGGCCCATAGAGAATACTGCCAGACTACCACTGATGTTTCCTTAAGGCCCAAGGGCTCTTCAGTCAGCTTGTGATGAATGTTGCCTGGCCTGGGATACACCCTTCAGGGAAGTATCTTCTGCCCCAGGGAAGGTCCAGAAATGTCATCCAAGAGCCAAGTTCTGGAATCAGAGTCTGCAACAGCCTACTTGGTGGTGTGCCCCACCATGGCCGAGCTGGTACCTGAAGCCAGCATGCCTCAAGGTCTCATTCAAGGCCCTCAACATAGTACCTGAAAATTGCTGCAGGTTATTTGGGGCCCAGGGACTTTTCAGTTAGCAGGAAATGAATGCTGCCAGGACTCATTCTTAAGGTCCTTCCCTTTAAGGTAGCAGACTCCCTTCTGGCCCAAGGTGTGTTTAGAAATGTCTGGGAGCTAGGTCCTGGAAGGGAAGCCTTAAAACTCTGACCTGTGCCCTATTCTGCTGTGAGTAAGCTGGGTCACCCCACACTTCCCTCTTCTCTCCTCAAGTGGAAATAACAGATCCCTTTTGGGCCTATGAGCTGTGCAGTCTGGAAATAGGGGAGGAATGATGCCAGCACTCCCTTAGCCACACCGACTGGTATCTCAATAGGTCATGTGCTCCTCCCACCAGTCCATTGTCTCTGGTTCAGTTCAGTCTAGGACTCTCCTAGAAGTGGCAGTCCTTGCGGCCTAGACTGCATTTTGAGTTTATTTACAGCCCCAAAGCACTTTAGCCCTCTGTGACAAGGCTTGCAGGAACTCTAATTCTGACCACAGGAATCAGTGATTTCCCCCGCTGGTTAGGGCTGCTTTAAATGCTCCCTCCGTGGGCAGGCACCGGCTGAGTTCTGTCTGGTTTTGCTTTCTGCTATAAGAAGACAGCACTGAGTTCAATGCCTCACAATTGCTATGTGGTCCCTACCCCAGTGCACAGAAATGCTCTCAGCACCACACCGCCACAAAACGAGGGCTGTTGTTGGCAATTCGAGTCATTTTATTTAACCCCTTCAGTGCCTCTTTCAGGGATACAAAGTTAAAACCAAGTACTATGACTGCTCATCTAATTTTTGGTTCTTATGAAGGTGCTTCTTCTGTGTAGATAGTTGTTAAGTTGGTAGTCATTGGATGCAGTGGGGGCAAAGGCGTGGCATGATCAGTGGAGCCTTCTATTCATCATCTTGCTCTCCACAATCTTTGCTTTCTTATAGTTGTCATTGTGTGTTATATGTTTATCCGTTATTTTATTTTTACCTTATATTAATTATTATGTTTTAGGGTATTCTCTAGAACAATGCATATAGTTGGCTTCTCTTTTATGAGCCAATTTGAAAAATATTAATAGGCTATTTAAGCCACTAACATTTATTGATATGACTGATATGTTTGGTCACAATTACACCATATCATCATTTGTTCAAAATACTGTGGTAATAAGTAATATTTACTGTGTTTCTTTCCCTATTTAGTGTATCCTTTTCATTTTCCTTTTTGTTATAAAAAATTTAAAAAAAAAAAGCAGGAGGTTGTTTGTTTTGGTGGTGTGCTTGGGATTTAGGAAAGTTTGTATTTTTTTTTCCAAGTGGTTACTTGTATATTATTACCATTTACAAAACCTTAATTCCTCTTTTCTCTTACTTAATATTTTACTATCTGGTCTGCTGGTTTCAAAGGATCTGTGACTCCTCCTATTAATTATACAATAGCAAATAATCATATTCCAAATATTAAATTGTATTACTACTTTATGGAAACCTATATGGTTTACACATTATTCTTTTACTCATGATCTACCCTCATTAATTTAATTGTAATATTATATAACGTGAAATATTCACCATCGATCCTTTTTGCAAAGATTTCCAAGTCATTTCTTGATTGAATGGAACTCATTCTAGCTAATTGATCAGGAAAGCCACATCTGTACTATATTCCCCAGTCCTTGCATGTTTAAACCTTTTTTTTTTTTGTCTATCCTTGATACTTGAAGCACAGCCTGCTTGGAGATAACATCTTTTGTTCACATTTTCTGTCCTTAATTTCTTTAAAATGCTGATCAACAGATTCCTTGCTTTTTATGATGTCTTCAAGAGTTTGATGCCAGTTTGGTTCCATTGACCTTAAGGATTATTTCATATTTTGCATGAGGCATGAATTTTTTTAAATCATAAAATATAACAATTTTACCATGTGTTTCAAAATTGATCATTATGAATCAATTTTCCCTGATGCCCCATGGTTAACATATAAATTCCAGTCTTTTTCTCCAGAAAACTGTTTTAGGTTACAAGTTTAAATACTAGTTTTATTCCACTGTTTTCAATTTCTTCTCAGGAACTCCAACTTCTACTAATGTTAGACCTTCTTTACCTGTCTTCAATGTCAGCCACTTGCTCTCTGAATCTTTTTACTTCTTTCTTTTCCTTGTGTCATTGTCTTAATTGGTTTAATGCTTTTCTTCTATAGCATTTATATTTTCATTTATTCTATTTCCATTATCATTTTTATAATTTCATTTTTAATGCTAATTTACCTTTTTCTTCTACTTCTTTGAGTTCAGTCAAATCCAAGAAGTACAAAAAGTACTTTTTGTACTTCTGATTTCAGATTTTATTTTCATATTCCCAAATGTTCATTTCAAGATATTTAATTTAGTTTAAAATATTGCATTTTCATTTTGAGCTTTGTAGTCGATTTTGTGGGGATTTGATTTGATTTTTTTTATTTGACTCTTTGATCTTTATAATAACTTTGTGTCAATGAAATCTTTTTTTTTATTTACTTCATGAACATAGTTTCTAGTTTGAAAATGTCCTCTTCCATCAGTTCTGCCTTCTTCTGTGCAGTTTGGTTAAAATTACTTAGTATAGGTTAGTTGGGAGGAGAAGAAATTGGCATCCTTTTACTTTCTCTCTTTTATGCAGAATTTTTAATTTTCTCTCTCTTGCTTCCTTCTATCCCTTTACTGCTGCACCTCCAAGGAGAACCTCCCTTTCCTTACATATCTCATTCTCCATCAGAAGCTATCTTCTCCATATCTGACATTTATGCTTTATCTGCAAGCCCCTTCCCTGAGGTTGGTGCTGCACATGACTACATCCAGCCTATATTCAGCATTTTAGCAGTCAACATTGGACTTTCTATTTCCAGCAATGACTTTGTCTGTGCTTTATTTAAGTCTTTCTTGTCTCTCTGCTGTTTTTCACAAAGCTTCTCCTTCTTGGCTCTCCAAACTCACAGACTGACTGATTTCTAATACTGGCTTTCACATTTACTAACTTGGAAAAATAACTTGATCTCTATAATGCAGTTTTTCAGCTAAAAATATTTCCCAGTACAATGCTTGCACATGCCTTATGGCTATTGTAGTTTGTGGCCTTCAAAGTAAAAGTTGAAAGAAAATTTTGCATTCTTTAGACAGAGCTACTGGGGCTATAGAGCTGTTCTCATCAACCGTCTTTATCTGCCGACAAAAACACACACTGATGTCCAACAAGTACGGGAAGTAATATGCTTCCATAGTTTTCAATATTTCATCAGTGCTTTCCTCTACCAGAATGAGCAGTAAAGCTGTCATCAGAAAGGAAACATAGGCATAAAAATTATTAGTTTAGACAGAGAGCTGACTATTGGGTCAATCTGATTTCAAATGATTGGCACAGCAGTAATATCGAATCTATGCAGCTGATGAGAAATGTTTGGCTGAATGGTGTGGCCTCGTTTCCCAGGTCTGGATCTGGCTAACAAAATGCCTTCTCCTAGAACTCTGAAAACTCATCTGCCTGTTCAGATGCTACCACCTTCCTTCTGGAAAGAAAATTCAAAGGTAAGAAGAACCAACTCTTCAAACCCAATTTGATCAGCATGGCCTAATAATGTCCAAGTAGAAACAGTAAAAGACACTAAAAGAAAGCCAGTGGAGCCATAGGGCAGATTGTGGCATTACCCCACATTTCCACATACTCCATTCTGGATTCATCTTCCTTCAAAATATTATTTTGGGGTACATATTGGGAAATTTTCAGACAAAATTATTTTGACTGTATGCCATCTAAGCCACATTCAAAGAAGGTGATCAGTGAAACAAGCAGGTATTTCCTGAGGAAGAGTGATCTCTTAGATTGTCCTCTAAGGAACCAGCAGAGTCAGACCTGAAAAAAAACTATTTGGAGGAAAACCTGTGAAAAGTGGAGTAAGACAAGTAAGTATGGACAGCAATAAGATCATGATGCAAGTCTGACCCCTATGAAGGAGAGGCAAAGAAGGAAAGTTAAAGACTCATACTACAGTGCAGCCATGAGCAAGGTTCATCCAAGATGATGGGGAGTCCTCCAGCCAAAGTCAGCCATCAGAAAGTCCCATATCTCATAGATTGGACCTGCCTAGGCATGCCTGCTGTATTTACTCATTAGCCAAAAGCAGCCATTTGGAAATGTGTTCTTGTAAAGAACATGTTAGTGGATTCAGAGTAAAGCATTTGAGGCTATCCATCACTTACACTTTCCACATCCAGAGATCTGAACAGCCCATGTTCATGGACACCATCTGGCTGCCCTGATGAGATAATGTACACCTTGGTGTCCAAAATCTGCTCCTCTTCCTTTCAGGATGAGAAGTATAATTTTGTCTTATTTTAGTTTCCCCACCCCACACACACACACACACCTTAATAGACAACTGAGAGATTGACAGTCTCTCAGAAAGCATATCTCATGAAGCAAGCTCTTAGGTACCGTTAACACCTTTATTTTCTCTGCTTTCAAAAAATATATTTTTTTATTTTGACACTTCCTAATTCAGATCCTATAAATGCAGTGTACTTTGAATGTACCAGTGTTTCCTTTTGATTTCTGCTTTATTAGTTGTCTTAAATTAATGAAATGTGTAATATAAACAAAATATTGACTTACACATTCACAATAAAAAGTATAACCATTCAGCAGAACCAAATGCTTGTATCAGCTAGACCAGCACATCATCTTTTTGTGGGCAACCTGCTTTGTAAACACAGTTATCTGAAGATTGCTGAGAGAGTCAGTTGATGTTAAAAAGTGTTTTTCAGCTAAGACAACTGCAGAGTCTTAACAATCTTCTAGACTGAATTTACCAAGAAAACCATAATGGTCAAATCTAACCAAGATACTGTCTCCTTGGTGCAGTGCTCAGATACGTGATGTGAGTAATTGCTTTTGACTTCCTCTTTCTGCTGAGCTTCCATGACTCACCAGCTCTTTATTTGTCCATCTCCTATCTCCAAATAAGGTACAATACAATTGAGTAGTTTTTCAAGTATCTGCTTGCTTTGCTTCCCTGATTTGCTGATTTGCTTCCCTAAGATCCTGCCCAGGTGACCTGGATGTGTGAAAACTTCTTGGTTTATTCCCACAGATAAATATTTTCACTAATTGTATGTTCACTTTATTCCTCAAGAACCAGTATTTTCTCCAAATCTTGTAGACTCATTGTCAAAAGATACGCCAACACTTGGTTAGTCATCAGACTAACATCTTTTTGTAAAAATCAGGTCTTCTAAATAATGTAAACATCTCAGTGGTAATACTTCCGTTTATCCATTTAGACTTGGTGTGAATTAATTGAGTAGGAAATGACTGCAGGGAGCTTAATACAAGTTTTTCATTTTATGATGGTATGGTAGCCTGAAAAATGGTCACTCTAAGATAGCTACATCTAATCACCAGCACCTGAAGATATTACCACATATTGCAAAATGAGCTACACAGATGTGACTAAGTTAAGGACCTTGAGATGGGGAGATTATCTTGGATTGTCTTGGTCTTAAATATCAGCACAAGGGTATTTAAAAGATGGAAACAAACATACCCAGGGAGGAAATAGGAGCTGTGACAACTGAAGCAAGAATCTGGAGTGATTCAAGGAAGGGGTCAAGAGCCAAGGAGCACAGGTGGCCTCTAGATGCTAAAAACAGGAAAACAAATTTTCCCCAGATCCATTAAAGGAACCAGCCTTGCTGACACCTTGACTTTTACCCAGTGAAATCTGGCCTTCAGGACAGTGAGAGAATAAATCTACATTGTTTTAAGCTATTTGGCAATTTGTTAAAGCAGCAATTGAAAATTAATACAGATGAATCAAAAGATTCTCAGAAATTGTATTTGACATTGGACCCCACACCTAATGTACATTTGAATATGTTCCCTGTTTAGCTTAGGACTTCCCATTTCCATTTATGCCTAGAAGGCAATAACCAACATAAGCATTAAGGAATATTACACAAAATATATGTACATAATAAGACTTTACACTTGTATCATATTTCGATACCATAAATGCTTTCATAAATGCTGGATAGAAATCCAGCAGCAAGAAACAAGGCAGAGAAACAGAGTCATGGCAGGACTGTGTGACTGTGTTCATCTGAGTGAGCAAAGAGGGAAAGCGAGAACCTAGGGCAATTCACTAAGAGTAAAATAGCACTGGATGATTGGTTGTGTTGGATGCAGAAGTTCCGTAGTGAGACACAGGACAAAAATTCTTGAAAACCCACTGAGAATGGTTCCTCTCTAGCCCTGCAGAGAATCATACAGCAGTGTAGGATGGGGTGAAAGCCAGAGTAATGAGGGGAGAAAGGGGTCAGCCGGACAAGAAGCCAAGAGGTCAGCTCCTTCTCACCAGACCACACACTGCCTATCCTATGAGAAGACCATCACACACAGCTCCAAGGATGCACTTAGCACTGTCCTCAAGGGTCCTTGAACCTCATCAGCAAATGAATGTAGAAGTGTTAATTTATCAGTAAGGCTGGGATTCATACCATGGAAATTAAACCAAATGGCTATCTGCTTTAGCTCCTCCCAGCCTAGAACCCAGTTAAGATTCCTTGCTTAGTGAAAGCCAATGGGAACCTTCACACACTGAAAAATATACCACATGCTATCATCTGCATTTGTCCTGTCAAAATTCATATGTGAAATCTTAATCCCAACAGTGATAATATTAGGATGTAGGACCTTTGAGAGGAGATTAGGCCATGAGTGGGAAGCCCTCATGAATGGGATTCATGTCTTATAAAGCACGACTGTCTCAAGACAACAGATTGTCACCACATACCAAATTTGCCAGCAATTTTATCTTGGAATCTCTAGTCTGTAGAACTGTGAGAAATAAGATGTTGTTGCTTATGAGCCACTCAGCCTGTGGTATATTTTTGTAGAATCCTGGATGGATGAAGACAACATGGGTAGCCTCCTTAACTACATCACAGGGTGAATGTAGTATGCACCATGTAGTATGCAAACTAGGACACTTCTGTGATAGAAAAAGGGTGCTCTTAATGGTCATGCTAAGAACACAGCTATAAATTGGAGCTGTGCCTGGACAAACTGAAAGGGATAGTCACCTTTGATCATGGAAAATGCATAAACATTCAATTATTCAAATAGGATAGTCCAAGATTCTACAAAGAGGCTTTCTAAGATTATGGTCCTCTGTACTGGATGATATTTTGCTGTCTTGCTTTCTCTCTGCTTCTAATTCCTCTTGCTGGCCAATTCCAGATTATCTATGTGGCTAGAAATGCCAAGGACTGTCTGGTCTCCTACTACCATTTCTCAAGAATGAATAAAATGTTGCCTGACCCTGGTACATGGGAAGAATATGTTGAGACATTCAAAGCTGGAAAAGGTGAGTGGAAGAAAACTGTGAGTTCATATTTCCTTATTCATTCACCTGCTGACAGCAGAAAGGAAGATAATTTTCATTGAATGGCTGTATCCATCAAGGTCTTGTGAGGAAGTAGATGGCACACTCAAGCCAGGTCATCTGGGAAGACTCTAACAACAAGACTATTTACAAGGCTATGAACAGAGTTTGAGGAAACTGACAAGGGCTAGTAATGTATTCTGGGGAGAGTACCAGCAGGGAGCCAGATCTCTCCAGAGACAAAAGAGGACCCCTTGACAGGAGCTAAAGCCTTTGGTGGGGGAAGCAGTGAACCACAGTGAGCCAACAGAAAAGGCATCAGGGAAATAAACACAATGTCCTCCTCTCCTTCTGCCTCTGAACGCCTTCCTCTGCCTCTTACTGACACAGTCCAGCTGCAATCCTGAGGGCAAAGGAGCCCATTGACACAGTCGATGAAGGACACTATGCAGGGCACCAAGCAGAGAGGGAGAGGATGGAGAGTGGAGTTGGCAGAGACAACAGAAAATACCCAGTGAGCCTCTCTTTTTCTATTTACCATCAAAGAGAGTGAAGGTGCCCAAATATCCCAGTATTTATAAATTTTTCATAGTAAAAGTCTTCTTTTTAAAATCAACCTGTTCAGAAACAATATTTGTTTTATAATATTGACCAATGCACTGTGTGATGATGCAAGGAAAGTAAAGGTGTTGAATCCCTGGCCACAAGACAATCTTTCATGGAGCAATAAGTTCAGGGGTGGAAATATAAACCAAGGGATCCAGAATACTTTTTATCATCATCCTAATTTTAAAAAAATCCGTCTTCTGCAAATGAGAATTCTCCCCAGGGTCTTTGGTCTTCTGGTTGTATTTACTAAATTTCCCCTTTTATTTGAAACATTCAGGTTTGTTTTACAGGTTTCATCGTGGCATTGACATCTTATCTCTCTCTTTCCCCTCAGTGCTGTGGGGTTCCTGGTATGACCACGTAAAGGGATGGTGGGATGCAAAAGACCAGCACCACATTCTCTACCTCTTCTACGAGGACATGAAGGAGGTGAGGGCAGTGCCAACTCTGTCAGATCCTCCCACATCCTAGGATACATCAATCCCCATTTAGAACCCTAGCACATGGGCTTTCCTACAGAAGAGCCTTCAGTGCAAGCCCATAACACTGTTTGCAACTCAGTTTTATCCTCAAAGTTCTAACTACTTTTTTGGTATTCTAAATTTTCTTTGCTTTAATACAGTTTTCTAAAGATTCTTCTTCCACAGGAAATAGCACATGCTTAATAGTTGAATCAATCTGTTGGATCCTGATACTTAGGAGCCAGATGCCTTTATCTACAAAGTGATATCACATCTATCTCATGAGATCTTTTTAAAGATTTACACTACAGCATTTGTAAAGTGTACATAGTTGTGTTCAAGAAATTTAGCTTCCTTCTCCCTGTTGCACACCTCAAGCCCACATCGTAAAGCAAAGTTTACTCCACATAAGCAATGGTAGGATTCGTCCCATATATTGGGACAGTGGACTGATTTCTGAATTTCAAACCATGGTGTATAAGTGGCTGCACAAACTCACTCTCATGACCCAGTGCATCAGCATCCTAGAATTTAAAAAGTAGCATCTAAGATGTCCTTGGAAATTTAATCAAAAGCTATAGCTTTCCCTCTTTCTGTATCTTTTTGATGAAAAGGATCCAAGAAATAAGGATTTATATTTCTGGGTCAACTTGAGATTCCTTTTATTCCTCCTCTTAGTGACCTTCTGTTAAGTTCATAGGTTCTTTTTGCCATCTATTGTAGTCCAAATACTAGAGTTAGTCATACTAGGCTTCACCACCAACATTGTTCCTCCTTCACACCACCATCCCTGATCTCTCCCAGGAGATATCATTGCTCCTTCCCACCAAATCTTCTGGCACCCTGTACTACTCTGCAGGCAACATGAACTTTTTCAACCAGCAGTGTGGTTGTTTGTGTTTCTGTTTAATTCCCTTCCTGCAAGGTAAGCCTCCTGAGGGCAGGGAGAGCCCTCGCCTTGGTGTTGCTGCAGCATCTGAGACAGTACAGTGCCTTGCACTAGGAGTCACTTGAGAAATATTTTTGGAATATGTTTGAATTGATCCTTTAACTCATTTCTTTCAAAATACTGTCCAAATGGAACATCATCCCCAAGGGAAGACCCAACATGATTTTTTTGGTGTGACTGTTCCACATACAGGACCCAAAGCGGGAAACTGAGAAGATACTGACGTTCCTGGAGAAAGATGTATCAGAGGAAGTTCTGAATAAAATCATCTATCACACCTCCTTTGATGTAATGAAGCAAAACCCAATGGCCAACTATACCACTTTGCCCACCAGCATCATGGACCACTCCATCTCCCCTTTTATGAGGAAAGGTAGATAAGCTTTGTAGTCTAAGATGTTAAATGGAACTTTGTGGTCCCCGTGATCTGGTTACATTTTCCGGTAATGTTTCATGCTCCATTATTTATTATTTCCAGCAGCACCACTGTACATCTTTTGAGAGGCAAGCTGCCTGTTTCTCCCCATTCTTGTGGGGGTCCTAAGAGTGCATGCTCACCTCTCCCTGTACTCCTGCAGCAATCAATCAGATTTTGCCTTGTTTCAGGGCTGCCTGGAGACTGGAAGAACTATTTTACTGTGGCTCAAAATGAAGAATTTGACAAAGACTACCAGAAGAAGATGGCAGGAAGCACCCTAACCTTTCGCACAGAGATCTGAGAGCAGTCAGGGAGTCTGCCCTGGACTTTCTTGCCAGATTTTTGCCATCTGAGCCTCATGATCAAGGACACCTAAAACAAAGACACACTTCCTCCAGTCTGGAGCTGTTACACACTAGCTATAGACCCTATGCCACTATGATAATACTTCACCAAAATGTAACCAAATCCTAGGTAGTTTTTAATTAAGATACATGATCCCTCATGTAGACACCAACCACATAATGTACTCACCTGTCCTAAGGCAAAATAAAGACAACTTAGTTCCATCACTAGTTTACAATAGTAAAGTAAATAAAGAGATACATAAAAGTGTAATTTCAACATAAGAGAAAGTGAACAAGAGAAGAAGGAGGATGAGAAGTGAGCACTAGGGAGAATGTGAGGGGAACTGGTTTTTATTTTTAAAGTTCAGGAATGAGAAGCAGAGGATAGTCCTCTCTTGAAGATATCAGATTAGGACCTGCAGAGGATGGCATGAAGGATGGAATGCTGTGAGCTGGGTCTGACTCAGGTGGCTTCAGGCTGAAATGGTCCCAAAACCAAAGAGAAAGGCCACAGGAGAGGAATTAGGAATGCAAGATGAGCAAGAAACTCAGCTTGGTTCTGTGGCCAACACAAGGCTGGAAAGCAGAGAAAGATTTTGTCTTTCAGATGGACTTCTGAGAGAGAGGGAGGGAGTGGGGAGGGGAGACAGAGAGAGAGAGAGAGAGAGAGAGAGACTGAGTCTTCAGTGAGCTCAAAGAAAAAATAAAATATTCAGTAACTGCTGCAAATTAAGAAAAACATTCATGTCTCTGTGGAAAATCATTTTTTATCTTTTTTTAAAAAGGGCTCTTAGCAAAACTGTCAGCATTGCCAAGTTGATCAGCTACACTTATGATTATATTCTTTTTCTTCTTATTATTAAAACCTATACCAAGAAAATATCTGCCATCATTTATACAAGTTATACAAAGATCCATATATTATTTTTTTAATGTCTGGAAGGTACATTTTGTGGGATGAGTGATTTCCTTATCATTAAATCATACAACACAAAAAATTATCTTCTCCACCCAGTAACAAAGTATGTCCCTTTGCATTCTTTCATCATTCCCTCTCTAAAGTAAGCAGGCAAATCATTAACCACATGACCAATATCCCAGTATAGTATATAGACAGAGTGCTGGCCTACACTGAGGAAAGATATGGTGAACTGAACCAGCATGATTCAACAGCAAATGAATTTTTATCAGAAACACTGACGCCAGATGTCTTGGGTTCATGTTCCAAGAGCTGCCTGACAATGTAGATAGCAAGCACATAATGACTCCCTTTATGACTATGACAGAAACTGCACATATGGGCAGTATTGATCAGAATATGGGCAAAGGCCTAGAGTTTACGACTAGGCAAAACTTGCTTTTCTCCCTTTATAAGGCTAATTTTTTTACTTTAATTGTAAAAATAGATTTCATTCTTATAGTCTCTATAAATTTCAGCCACAGAAAATATTTCTAGACTCCTCTTTTACAAAGCTCTGCTATGTCCTTTTAAGCAATGTTAAAAGTACTATGAAAAATAATTAATGGTTTAATTCAATCTTAAAATATCTTTGGTCCAGCTGCATAAAATAAACATGATGAAGATGACCATCCATGTGTCCCAGATAATCTAACATTCTTGATGGTCATGGATAATTTCAAAAGAACTTGTGTTCTGATCACTTATTACATTCTTACACAGAGAGAGAGAGAGAGAGGCTCCTAAATATACCACAATCATAGAAGATCAAATTGTAAATGTTCAATTTACTTTGGAACCATGCACTTAGAAGAAAATAAAAAGCAGCAATGGGAAGTTAAACTCATAAATTTTAGAGTGAGAATTACAAGAATCAGAAAGATCACATCATTCAACAAACCAGGGAGAGAGAGAGATGACCCTCACAAATGGGTCATGGCAGACACGGTTAAACGGGATTCCCCAGCACACTGCAGGAGTCACACAGATTGCAGAAGTCTTCTCTGCAGACTGCATCTTGCACCCACTCACTTCCTCTTTGCACTTGGAACAGCTCAGGTGTTCTATGGATTTTCTGATTACATGAGATTCCAAAACTTTTCTAATGACCTGCTTAAAAAAATAAAAACAACAAAGCCTGAATGGGAATCCACCTAGAAAGGCAGTTCTTCCCAGATAGGGTCTCTGCATTAGAGCATCTTGGAGATGTACATGAGCAGGAAGGAGATCCCAGCAGAAACTGCCCTTTCCAAAAGCTGAGTAAAGCCCATCTCTGCCCTCCATCCCTGTCACAGGGCTTCTGGGCTTTCTTTGGCTTGTAGGTGCCAGGCAGACACCCCCTGCCTCCTGCCCAACTTCACCAAATCTCCCACAGGGCCTGCCCTCAACGGAGTGAACTGAGCTCCCTATGCAGCCCCAAAGGCTCTGCCCCCTAATCTACTGTGGGTTTTGCTGTTACACGAACTTCAAAACATGGGAGGCAAATTTTAGTCCATATGAACTCAAGTATGGGGAATGCCAATAAACAAATGACAGAAAGGAGGAGTAAGGACAGGAATGAAAATCCTTAACCCTTTCTAGTGGTTGTTAAAATGATCACCTGAAAGATCATCAGACCTGAGTGCCTCCAGTGTCCAAGTCCCTATGGAAGCAAACTGAGACCAAATTCAGTTACACTGAGGACCCAACCAGGTCAGAAACCACCAGCCAACCTCAGACGAGGGACTTTCCACTTATTGCTCCACTTTGCCCAATTAAACATTTCCCCTACACTGTTTCCCATTCACTGTATAAAAGTCTCCCCACACTCTCCTTCAAAGGATCCCTGAATCATTCTAGCTTGGAGAGCCAGATTCATGAATCATTTCCTGCTCAAATAAACTCTTTAAAATGTCAGAGTTCACCTCTTAACAGTTCCTATTGTTTTCAGCTTAGTAGAATTAGAGTTCATGCTACAGGAATCTGATGATCCGTCTTCTGCAAAGAGGTTTTTCATCAGTGGAAGACTCTCCCAGCCCTTCTCCATTGTCAGTGCCCTTTCTCTCTCTACACTCATGGGTTGTTGGTCTAGGCCCACAGTGGTTGGTCTAGGCCACAGAGGTGGCCTGTGGGCCAAAAATCCAGCCATGCAATATGACTGGGAGCTATGAATAAACTGTTTTCATACTTTTAAGCAGTTGTTATAAAAACAACACAAAGAAGAATATGTGACCCACAAAGCCTAAAAAATTCCCTATCTGGTCCTTTACAGAAACTATTTTCTCACCCCTAATTTAGGAGAACTCCCCAGCAGGCCTATTCTTTAGGCAGAGGCCCTGGATGACCATCAACCCAGCCCTGCTGTAGGCACCACGGCCACACAGGCACAACTGTTGCACACCTGCTACATGGAGGGAGAGCAGAGGAAAAGAGAAGGGAACAAAAATTGCCAAATTTGGCTTTATAAATGAATAAATACTGACAAACACCCTCAGCCCAGCTGTGGCAGGAACAGAGCATACCCCAAGACCACCATGCGTGGCTGACACAAATATCCAGGCCCTGGTATCCTCTCCTCCCTCATGCCCTGACCCATCAGCAGTGCTTCCTCCAGTCTGTATATCTGAGCTATCTCGGCACATTGTAATGTCTTGCCTTTCACCAAGTGCTTCAGAATCACTCCTCGGGAAGAAGAGGCAGCACTCCTCAGAGACACCTTTACATCAAGGAGGACTCAGCACTTGGCTGTGGGCAGCAGGAATCATGGACCCTCCAATGGGTCTAAGATAATCAGAGGTCCTCAGCTGTCTGCAGACTGCCCCGAGTACTGCGTCTTTGTTGGCAATGTGGACTGTTTCCAGTAGACTCATCTCCCTCAGGGTCATCGCTCCTGTCCATCTCTGGGCCCCACATTCCAGCCAGGGGCACAATGGGAGAGTAGAGGTGATGTGGCCGTCTCTCCTCAGTGGTGCTTGTTCTCCTCCCTCTCGCCAGCCCTGACCCATGATCAGTCCCTGCATTTCAGTGACTCCCAAGCACACCGTGGCTTCCACTTTCTCATTCTGCAGCCTCTGCATGAGAATAATCAACCATTCATGTTCCATCTTCACCATAAGCAAAGCTAGAAAGAGAGCCTTTGCCTGTCATGTTGGTAGTCCTCTGAGAAATCTCCATCCCCATGCTGTCTCTCTGTATGTGTCCAGGGCCACCACATCTTCTCGGGGACATGCTCACATGGCTAGGTCCTGGAATTGCCTGACATTTGCAGCTGGTTCTTGGAAAACCCATAGAATGTGTCACACCAACTTCCTCCAAACCCTACCAAGCAGAACTCAGGGATGTTAGCACTTTTCGTAAATCTCTGTCTGCTTTGGTTGACCATCCCTGAATTGACTCATCTGAGTCTTAACTGGGGTTAAGTGAGGAAAGTCCAGTCAGAGCAGAGCATGGTTTGAGTTCAGACAAATAGAAAATGTGTCTAAGCTTCCCTCTACCCCAGTTGATGAAGGCAGCCCACCTCAGTAGGCTCAAGCTGAGTTTCTGGGTCAGCTTGCACTGGGTTTTATGTGGATGAATGAGAAGGCTCTTGCAGATCCATATTTGTGAAGACAGGGGTCCTGGGTGAGGATCCCATGGGAGTCCCGGAAATCCAAACATCATCAGATCCTCCCAGCCTTCTTCCCAAAGAGTTCTAAGGAGCACCCCCAAAAACAGGAGCCTGTGCATGGTAAAGGGCCTGAAGTACTCCCAGCTCTTGAAGCCAAGGGAGGTCCCAGGCCACAACAGCTCTCATGCTCCCAAGGCAGGAGCTATTTCTCAACCCACCTTCCCATCTGGAAGAACCTCCTGGGAAGTGATGTACATATTGTGGTCCTAGGAACAAGCAGGTGGACATAGAAGTGACCAATGGTGTATGTGGGCCATAATGGCAAGGACCATAAAGTCCAGGTGCAGTTTTCAGTTGGTGACCTGAACATGGCCTCCAGCCAGAAGATGAGGATCAAGAACGGTTATGTGTGGCTGATGGAAAGCTCTCCATATGTTAGGTCATCTCCAGTGTCAGGCTGGATTGCTGTGGTCTTATGGGTCTTCAGGCTCCCAGGAGCAGTCATTAGTGGTGTCCATTCACAGAGGTCAGCCCTAGGTACAAAGTTTAGCAGAAAAAGGTAGACAAACTGGTTAGGGTTTCATCCACCCCTGGGTTTAAAACTCCAGAGTCCAGCATGTCCCTAACTAGGAGGCCACTGGCTGCCCCCCTAAGCTCCAAACTGATGGAGAATATCCCTGATCACCACTAGTACAAACCATAGAAATTAGGGAACAATACAGGTGCAGGGAGAGGCAGGCCAAGCTGGCTTCCTACATAAGACTCAGTGTAGAATCAGCTGCAACAGCCAAATAAAATTCAGATACACTCCCCAACAATTCACGTGGACATGAGCCCAGGAAACTGGCACAAAACATCTCCAGTCATGCCCCTTAAGGTCCCCGGGAGTTGGAATTTGGTGGAATGTCAGGTCACACTCTGGTTGTAATCAAGTAGGAAACTGCAATCAGCCGTAGCACTTGGGCATAACTGCATCCCAGGCTAAATGTCCAAAGGCTGTTTACACAGGCAAAACCTTAAAAGACAGGAACATCCTGCTAGGGGCTGGTGTGCCAGGAAGACATCATTGTGAAATCCCACAGTGTGCAAGCAACCTATGCCATCCTGTATTGGGGTTTGGGTTGCCATAAGCAGACCCTGTATGAGAATTTCTATGTAAGTGATTTATTTAAAAAGTGTTCCTAGGAGAGAATGATCAGGGTGTGGTGAGGCAGGCTGGAGGGGAAGTAGCCAAGCAAGCATATGGACTTAGCACAGTCCTAGGTGCAGCCTGATCCTTAGGGGCAATGCAGGGATTATCCCTACTTGAGGCAGGGAGCTGGGCTTTCCTGGGGCA